TCTCCTGGGGATTGGCCTAAAGTTACCATCCGACTTTCATGCTTAAGACAGAACTAGAATTCACCGTCTCCTGGGGAATTGGCCTAAAGTGACCCAGCCGGCTTTCATGCCTAAGGTGGGACTAGAACTCACAGTCTCCCAGTTTCTAGCCTGGTGCCTTAACCATTAGTCCAAACTAACTCTCACAAATGTTTCTTGTCCTTCTTCTTGGGGGAATTAAAGATGACCCAACGGATTCCAATTATAGTGGATTAGTCACACTCTTTAGGACGTGAACATTTCCAACTATAGAAAGGGTGTCACTGACAGGCAGGGAGGAGGCAGAAGCAAAGAGAGTCACGTTCCGAAAAAACGCTTTCCAGCCCTACCAGGAAGTTCTCCGTTTTCCAAATAGGATTTGTCTTCTCGGCCAAAGGTTAAATGCTCCGTGAGATCAGGGGACAAAAATGCCCTCTCCCAACCTATTTGGAGAAAAATCCCTGGAAATATGGAAGGAGTCTCTGGAATGTGTCCTTTTGCATGTATCACGCTTATAAACAGCATCGGTGGCCTTGAATGATAGCCCCTTACGGCTGAGCAAGGCCACACAACTAACACAGCAGCTCCGAGGAGACCTCTGCTGTCGATAACAGGGTATGAGAGGAGAGAGAAAGAAAAAAAAATCCATTTTTGGGCCATACTGGTACAACCATTTATTTAGTGACCATTCAATGTTACGACGGCACGGAAAAAAAAGTGACTTAGAAGCTGTCATGCCCCTGAATCTGAGTCTGAATCCAAGGAGGAAGACGAACAGCTGACAGGGAGGGGGAGTGTGGCTCCATTGGCTGTGGAGGAAACTGGGGAAGGGCAAAGGCCAGCTGGGCAGAGCAGGGGAGAGGTAGAACAAGGGAGAGGCAGTTCAGGGGAAGACCAAGGCCCACCCTCTCTTCATCCTAGGGCACGCAGGGAGGAACAGAGAAGGGAGCAACGTGGGTTGCATGGCTTATAGGGGAGAAAAGGGCCCTGATCCCCTTCATTAGCAACACCTGGGATGAAAATGTATAAGAATTGAATGCTGACTGTGGAAGTTGCTGGGAGCAAACGGGACTTTATCCTGTGTTGTCGTGGCTTACCTTTGTTCCTGGCATCTTCCCAACCATGTGAGTTTTGCTGTGCCTTCACGTCTGGAATTCCTTCTCCTGCCCTGCCGAACTAATTACCTCATCTTGCCTTGATTGGACATTACAGTTACAGTTTTGGTTGACCAAAACATTTGCATTTGATTCTCTGCAGCCAATGGCTGCTCCTGGGTGAGTTTTTCCCCGGCCCACAAGGTAACCAGGACACTGGGGGAAAAGTTGGACTCCTACCGATTATCTGACTGTGTGGCCTTTGTGCCACGCCCCTTTGGGTCATCACAGAAGCATTTTTCAGACTTACGACAGTCGCAGCGTTTTTTTGGTTGCGATCAAAATTCCAACGCTCGGCAGCTGGTTTGCATTTATGACGGTGGCAGCATCCGAGGGGCTCACGCGATCCCCCTTTTGTGACCTACTGACAAGCAAAGTCAATGGGAAAAGCCGGATTCGCTTCACCACCGGCTGACTAACTTGAAGCAATTCACTTAACAATGGTGACCAGAAAAGCCACACAATGGAGCAAAACTCACTTGACGGCTGTCTTGCTCGGTTGCCAGAAATTTTGGGGCTCAATTGTGGTCGCTAAGTCAAGGAATAGCTGTACTCCCGGAAACTGGGGAGACAGAGGGACAATTTGCAAAATTTAGCAAATTCCAAAGCAGACAAATTTTGCAGTTGATGGTGGCCATCCATCAAAAAAATAACGGGCAGTAGTCCCCGAGTTACGACCATAATAGTGCCGTACGTTTGTGAGAGCCAGAAAGCAGGTCATCACATGACCAGCTCAATTTCAGGACCTTTCGTTTTTGAGCTGGCTGTTAAGCAAAGCGCCAGGGGTTAAGTGAACCTCTCTGTCACTAAGCAAACCCATTGTTGGCTATTGGGGGGTGGGGGGTATTTTTGGGTGTCGAAAAGCGGACGCAAGCAACGGGTTTTGGCAGGAAAATGTTGTAAATTGTGGTCACATGACCTTGGGAGAGTGCAAATAGCCATAAATGCAGACTGATCACCAAACTGGCTATTGGAACTTGGGTCAGTGGTGGTTAACCTTTTTCCGGCTCCCGTGCTGATAACTGCACGCGCGCTTCCGTGCGCTCGTGTGCCAGCACCCAGAGGGCAATGCGTGCTGGGCCCCCCACAACTCATGCCTATGCGTGCGCGCCCCTCCTTTTGCGCCATGCGTCTGCGCATGTGATTTTCCTGATGCACCACACATCCCTGCGCATGCGTCTCCCGTGCAACCCCCCCCTCCACCCCTGCGCATGTGCACCAGATACCGACAATCAGCTGTTGGGCGGCAGCGCACATGTGCACTGGGGCTCTTCCAAGCGACCTCTTGCGCGCAGGGGAAATGGCTCTGCGTGCCACTTCCGGCACGCATGGCATAGGTTTGCCAACATGGAACTAGGTCATAGGTACAGTACCTTTTCGGGTGTGTGTGTGTGTGTGTGTGTGTGTGTGTGTTTTGTCATAACCCTGAACAATCGCTAAGCAACCAATCGTAAGTGGAGAATTACCTGTACAGACCAGAATAGCTTGATCCCCTCCTCTCTTTGGCAGCCCCTGAGATATTGGAACACTGCTATCATGTCAGCCCAATTCTTCTTTTTATTAAATTAGACATACCCAATTCCTTCAACCATTCTTAGTATGCTTCACCCTCCGGACCCTTAATATCCTCTTCGTTGCTCTTCTCTGCACTCTTTCTAGAGTCTCAACATCTTTTTTAATATCGCGACGACGAAATTTGAATGCGGTATACCAAGTGTGGCCTTACCAAGGCCTTATAAAGTGGTATTAATATTTATCGCGATCTTGATCCCCTCCTTCTGTTGATGCAGCCTAGAAGTTTGGAGAGTTCTGGTTTAATTGATAGCTCTCTGGACTTCTTTGTGGGGGAAAAAAAAGCCAGTTCTCCAAATCACCCAAAGGCAGGACGAGAAAAAACGGGTGGAAACTAACCAAGGAGAGATTCAACCTAGAACTAAGGAGGAATTTCCTGACAGGGAGAACAATTAATCCGTGGAACTGCTGACCTCCAGAAGTTGTGAATGCTCCAACACTGAAAATAATTCTAACTTAGCACCTGTAAGATTTGTGGACTTCAACCTCCAGAATTCCTCAGCCAGCATGATACAGACAGATAAATAATTCCTGATACACAGCATACGCTATAACATCATAAAATGTTTCCGTTGCTGGCAATAGAAATTTTCAGTGAGATTCATTCTCAAAATTGCAAAAGGAGATGCAGGATTGTCTTCAAATTTTCACGCAACCTTCTCCAACCGTGCCTTCATCCTTACACCCGCATGTGTCTCGTTTTTTCATTTGAAGTATGTCAACTTGGGGTCTCTGGGAAATTAAATCTCTCCGGTGTCAAATCTGCCCGTACCTGACATACAGAATCTTCCAAAGTACATCTTTGAATCGAAGAGTGCATAATTCTGCATTATTTACCACTAAAATAGTTACAGAGCATTCTCGTAAAATACGAATGCTTGTATAAAATGAGAACTTGGAAGGTTTCAAAGCAACTCACAATTAAAATTTAAAATCATAAACCAATTTAAAAACAAACAAACAGTGGTTACAAGACACGCACTGAAATGGACGGAACCGCCAACGAAATCATTTCATCTCTTATCTCTCTTATTCACGCGGGCGTGATCTATTAAAACAATACAAAAATAGCTCTTCGGATTTATCTATTATCACATTTATGTGTGCCTTTAATTGTGCACCTCAATCTCCTGGGCCCTATTTTCTTCACCACAACCACCCTCTGGGGAGAGCAACTATCTCAAAGTCATGCAACCAGCTGGATGCTCCTATCAACAAGTTGGTCACCAGATTCTGCAACCAGCTGCAGCGTTCAGACCAGGTACGGATAATGGATAATCAGAGTTGGAAGGGACCTGGTAGGTCATCGAGTCCAACCCCCTACCCAAGCAGGAGACACCCTACACCATTTCTGACAGATGGGAGGTACAAAAGCAGCCCTACTTAAACCACCTGGGCATGAACAATGGTGCCTAGTGGCTGATGCTAACCCAGGAAAGCACCTAGCTGCTATACAATGGTGAGAAGCCCACCGCACTCCCGAAGAATCAAATATTTTGGGAGATATTAAAAAAGACAGGATAAAATATTTCCCCTAAAGGAGATATGGGGGAGAGAAATATTAAGGGAGGCAGGAAACAGCCGAGTTTCCCTGTACCAAGAAGAAACTGAGGAGGCCAAGCTTATAGAAGTCAAATTTGGTCATCCATTCAGAAAGACTGGGTCAGACCAAGACTCCAGATAAGCAACACAATTAGGCAAGTCAAAGGTTGACAAGATTAGCTCAGACAAATACCTAGGATTTGCATTTCCCCGTTCGCCTGTAGAGCCAGCCATGACCCCTACGTGACCCCATGGGAATCCAGAAGGTATAAAAACCCACCCACTCTAAACTCCATTTGGTCAGCTGTCCCAGAATCACATGTGGTTGGTGGTTCTGTTCTCCAATAAACCTAATCTTTTCTGTTTATATAATAAACCAATCAGCCTCCGCATTGTTTCCAGCGTCTTTCTCCCAGCTTGGAACTGAACCGGATGGATTTTGCTTCCAACATCAGGAATCACCAAACTCGGCAACGTTAAGACTCTGGCACATACCAGTGTCTTTGGATACCACAGGTCTGCTGAAGAACCAAGGCGCAGTCATGTAACGCAACTTGGAGACCATCCCTGAAAGTGGGAAGAAGCTTCCAACCCAATTTCAGCAAAAAATTTTTACCAGTTTATACAGCAGAAAACCAAAAAGGAATACACAGAACATCAAGAAAAAAACTTTCTGGGTCCTACCAGGTTGTTGAAAACGTTGCTCGTACCTGAACAAAATAAAGCCCAGAGATTCGACAGCCGCTCGCCTGACGTCATCGTTGACGTCGCTCACCTATGGGGGGGGAAAAGCAGAAATTAAAGTAATCTAGAGTTGGGGTTGCCAACCAGTGGGCTGGGGACCACTGCTGGTCCATGAGAAAATTTTGGCTGTCTGCAGAGAAATGCTCCCCCCGCCAAAGCAATTAATCCAGGCTGCGCAGGAACACAAGGCTTGCGTAACTTGCACTGCGAACAACACGAGGTAGTGAGGAGAGGGGGGAGGGGGGGGACTTGCCCCACGCACTCCACGTGCCTGGCCTGGCCATCGGGCTGCTTCTTTCTGCTTCTTTCTTCTTCTGCTTTTGGCTGCACGCGAGGAAAGCAGCCAAAGTCTTTCTTTCTCTCCCCCAAACTCCGCCTGAAATGGGTCTTTGGGACCCTGCAAGGCCTCCTGCCCCAAGAGGCTGCGCCGGCAAAGACTCATTTCTGGCGGAGTTTGAGGAGAGAGAAAGAAAGACTTCTGCGGCTTCTGCTGCTTTCCTTGCCTGAAGCCAAAAGTCTCTCTCTGTCTCTCTCCCTGAGAATGGAGCTGGAGACAGTATCCTGCGATCCCAAATAAAGAACGATCATTCGGTAGGAAAATGGGAGTGGGGAATTTTCCTGCAGACTTTTTTTGGGGGGGATTTTCCCAGGGTCTCTGATCCGCGGGATTTAAAATGACGAGTTTGGTGGCCCCTGAGGTCCAAAAGGTTGGCGACCCCGGGTCTAGAGCATTAATTAGAGGTAAGTCAGATTCATCAACAGGATTTGAAACTGTTGGACTAGGTGAGTTCGGCACAAATAAAATTGTATGAGTTGGTTCTGAAAAGTAATATTTATTCCCTATTTAAAGAGCCTCTTCAATGCTAACCTGGAAATGGTTCTTTGTGATTATGAATAGAATTGCAACATGGAGTCTCCCTTCTAAAGCTTATCACACTAAGCCAGTGATAAGGAAACGTTCCTCTGATTAATTTTCAACTGACAAAAAAAGCAACCAGCTGCCCAATTAGTAACTGTGGTCTAAAGTGGGGTTTTAAACCACAGTTGAATGCAATATCTGGAAGGCAACGCAGCGTTAAGATACGTTCCTTTTGCGGCAAAATTATCAATTTACCACAATTCATTCATTCAATTTCTATACTGAAGGAATGCCCATCTCAGTCAACGACTCTGGGTGGCTTAGAATTAACAAAAAACAAAACTAAATTACAATTAAAAATAATAAAAACATTTTACAACACCCACCCACCCCAAAAAAAGCACTTAAAAGCATCCAAATTAACAATTCAAAACGCACGGATGGTGATGAAACGCTTGCAACCAAATTGCCAAGCTTGACAGCCCAGCTACCAACCTGAGCAGTAGTGAGGTTTAAAAAGGTTTTACCACCGGTTTGGTGGGTGTGGCTTGGTGGGCACCTCCCAACTCACCTCCCGCAAGCCTGCCCTCTCCTGGTTGCTTCTGCTGCGCCGCGCAAAACAGCTGCGCTTCAAAAGCAGAGGACAAAGGTGAGTTTGGGAGCTCGGGCGGGCAGGTGGGCCCAACAGCAGAGCGGCGGAGGCAACCGGTTCCGTCTCCGCTGCTCATCGCAGAACTGGGCCGAACCGGTAGAATACCACCACTGAACCCGAGCTACTAATAGTCAAACACACTTCATTTCACTTTCTATCCCAATTCTCCTATGGTTTACTCCAGGGGTGGGATTCCAATTTTTTAAACAACCGGTTTTTGTGGGTGTGGCTTAGGTGGTGGGCGTGGCTTGGCGGTCATGTGACTGGGTGGGGGTGGCTTGGCGGTCATGTTATTGGCTGGGCGTGGCCAACTCAGTATCACCCACATTGAGGCACGCACCTCCTCGCCTGGCCTCTCGTGACTGTGGGGATGCTGCAACAGTCGTAAGTGTGAAAAAGGGTCATAAGTCACTTTTTTTCAGTGCCATTGTAACTTGGAATGGTCCCTCCACACAAGCAAAGTACCAGCAAAGGAAGGGAAAAGAAACTCCAGAGAAGTTCCTGAGACAGGAAGTCTAGTCCTGCCAAGAATGTAATAAGGGTTAACGGAGAGGCAGTTTCTGTCAGCAACACCAGAATGTTTCCTTCCTGCCTTCCTTACAGGATTAGGCCAGTAATTTCTTCTAACAACCGGTTCTCCGAACTGCTTAGAATGTTAACAACCGGTTCTAGCGAATAGGTGCGAACTGGTGGAATCCCGCCCTTGGTTTACTCCAAGAGGAAGGGGAACTCACCGCCACATGTAACAGACGCCGGATCGCTTTGTTGTTCCCTGAGCCGCAATAAGCCATTGCGACAGTATACATCCCCGAACGCCGGAGAATTGGGTCCTGGAAAAAAGGAAAGCTTTATAAATATCACTGCGGGGGGGACGGGACGGGGACACAAAATTCAGGCCCCTAACAACTGTTTTGCCCATTGCTCAATTTCCAGGAAAGCCGAGAAAGATCTGTATCCCAAGCCCCTGTCAGGGAAGACTTGACTGAGGTGGACTAACAGATTTATTAGATAAAATAAGATAAGATTTATTGATAGAAGAGAATATTTGTAATTTAGGGCTGAATCGTGGGGTCCTTGGTGCTTTTTGAGGTTCGTTGTTTTCTTGCAGACATTTTACTACCCAACTAGATTACATCATCAGGGCTACAGGGGAGGGGAGTTTGCTGTGTGTGTGTGTGTGTGTGTGTGTGTGTGTGTATGGCATTCAGCTTTGTTCGGGTATTTTCCCACGTCATAGTAGTTGTGCTTTTAAAGTTGTAGCAACGTTTCGGCAGAATCTCATCTGCCATCATCAGGCTTCTGTTGCCTGATGATGGCAGATGAGTTGCCAGAAGCCTGATGATGGCAGATGAGATTCTGCCGAAACGTTGCTACAACTTTAAAAGCACAACTACAATGACGTGGGAAAATACCCGAACGAAGCTGAATGCCATACATGTAAGTACCCGTGAAAACTTAAGAAAACTTAGGTATGTATGTATGTATATATGTATGTATGGCCCTGTCAGTAATGGTGGGAGTGTTGTTTTCTTCCTGATGATTTCTTGATTAGGCTGTTGTTTTCTTATGTTTTCTTCAATTTCCCCCCACAACAGCAACCCTGTGACGTGGGCCGGACTGAGAGGGAAGGAGGAATTCAGGGACACCCAACTTTATGGCCTAAAGCAGGACTAGAGCTCAGTCTCCTGATGATCAGTCCAAAGTCACATGACTGGCTTTCATGCATAATGTCGGATTAGAATTCACCGTCTCCTGGTGATTGGGCCAAAGGCACCTAGTCAGCTTTTGTGCCGAAGGTGGAACTAAAACTCACCATCTCCCGGTGATTGGCCCCAAATCACTCAACTGGCTTTAAGGTCTAAGGCGGGACTAGAACTCCCCGTCTCCTAATGATTGGCCCCAAGTCACCCAACCAGGCTTTCATGCCTAAGGCGGGACCAGAACTCTCAGACTCCGATTGGCCCGAAGTCACATAACTGGCTTTCATACCTAACGCAGGACTACAATTCACCGTCTCCTGGTGATTGGACCCAAATCACCCAACCAGCTTTCATGCCTAAGGCGGGACCAGAACCCACCGTCTCCTGGTGATTGGCCCAAAGTCACGCAACCAACGTTCACGCCTAAGGCGAGACTTGAACTCATAGTCCCCTGCTTTCTAGCCTGGGTGCTTTAACCACTACACCAGAGGTTCCCAACCGTGGGGGTGCGAGACGATATTCCAGGGGGTGCGAGAAAAGTCCAAGTAAATAATAGGATATTGGCTATAAGTTGTCATTTTTATTTTCTTTTGCAATGGATTAACTTAACTGAGCAAAATATAAATTTCAGGGGGTGTGAGGTTCAAGAGAAATTTCTTTAGGGGTGCGGGGCGAAAAAAAGGTTGGGAACCACTGCACTACACCAAACAGACTCTTGGTGCTTGTTAGGAATAAAAAGGTTACCGAACGTAGTTTGGGTAAAATAATATATATAAACTATGATAGTAAGTTTAAGCGTGTGTCACTTTAAACTGCAAAGCATCTAATTTTGGGCGCGGTTGTGAAACCGCCATAAGAGGGAGCAAGAGAACCTGCTGGATTGCTGACGATTGCTGGATTTGATGGTTTGCTAACTGCGTGTTCCCTACTGCTGAGTTGCTGAACGTCGAAGGAAGAAAGGAGGTTTGACTTCTTCATATCTCTACTGCGAGGAGATATAGTACTGGACTGATATTTGTAAGTTTACTGACCTCTCTTTTTCGACACTTGGACTTTGCAACTGAATAATCCCCGGACGGACTGAATTAGTGAATGATATATGGACTGTTTTGACTATGCTAAAACTCTTGCTGGAATAAAACTATTTAACTAGCACAGTGTATCTGTTTTACTGAGTGTAAGCTACAATAAACGTTTATCTCACATATTTTTGCCTGCCTGCCTGACTGCCGTGCAGATTCTGCTAGGGTGGATCCCTAACGGTGCTTCCTTCTCATTCTCCAGGAGGGCACAAGGCTGGGGACAGACGCTCAAAAGTCAAACATGAACCCTCAAAAGAAAGAACCTCCAAGCGGAGAACAGGACTCACCTTATCCCTGCACAGGCTCTCAATGAGGGCATCGGCTTCCTCCATCCTCCCGTACATCACCAGGGCGATCCCAACGGCTAAGCCCCGTAAGATCTTCTCGTGTTGGGTTTCCTGGGCATAGCCCACCATGTCCTCGATGGCCTGGGCGTTTTTGGACCCCAGCATCACAAGGCCTAGGGCGAGGCCAGCTGCTTCGCCTTTTGGGTGGGAAAGAAGAAAGCAGAATAAAGGCAGGTGCACCTCTTGGGTCCGAAAAGAATCTTAAGTCCGTCCTTTCACACCCGTGCCCATTTTAAAGAGGCACGGGCATCGATTCCCAGAATTCCCTCGCCCAGAACGATGCATGATTTATTTTACTGATCAGATTATAAAGCTGCCCATCTCCCTCCCTGAGGAAGCTGTTGAGTTTTGTGCCCCTTTCTTGCCATAGTTAAGTGAAACCTTGGTAGTTAAGTTAATAACCTGGTTATTACATGGACCTGACTTCCCCAGAAGGTCTCAAGAGGGGATCACGGGGCACTGCAACCGTCATAAATACGAGTTCAGTTGCCAAAACTGGGATCGCGCGACCGTGTGGGGAATGCTGCAATGGCCGTTAAGCTTGAAAGAAAGGTCCTATAGTGTGTTGTGGTTAGCTGGCTGCAGGTGCGGACGGCTGAGGAGAGCGAGGACTCAAGAGGAGGGACCACGGCCATCAGGGAGCGGAGTGCTGCCTTCAGAGATTGGGGTGGGTGGGCTGGCAGCAGCAATGAGGAGGTTCCCGAGGAGCCTGTGCCCAGTGCGCATGCGCGCAGGATTGCTCGCAGGAAAGAGCGGCTACAACAGCATGGGCGACTCGGGAGTAAGGCTGCAAGGTAAGGGCCTCTTCTTCAAGAAGATAAAAGGCAGCTGTGCAGCAAACGTTCTTTGCAGGAAGCAAAGACGTTTTGAAACTCAGCCTCGTGGACATTACAGTTGGTATTTGAAGACTCTTGTGTTGTAAAATATTTCTTAGCTGTTGTTTTTTGGCAGTCTTGAAAAAACTTGGCAAGGCTCTTTCTTGTCGGAGCTAATTAGTTGGAAGCAGCCTTTTATTTGTCAAGAAACAGAATTCATAGATGAAACATTAAAAGGTTGTGCTGCCGCCTTTGTCCTGTGTTTGCTCTCCTGGAACCAGGTTTGGGTAAGAACAAAGTAACTTTTTTCAGTGCTGTTGTTAACTCTTAACGGTCACCAAACGAATGATTGTAGAAAGCTGGGGATTAGCTGTGATCTTTGCAGGGGACCCTCATCATTAGCACGAAGTCACACAAACCGAGAAATGCGGCTGCATTAAATGCCAGAACGCACCTGTCACCGCGTCATCTTGGTACAGGTTGGTTTTCAGAAGGTCGTAGACATCTTGGCGTGCTGTTCCCATGGCAGCCAAGCCAAGCCCCAGGCTTCCCCCATGCCGAACGATCTGCAGAAACCATAAAGTGAGGATAAACAAAGAGGATCATTTATGCTCCAAACCCAGAGAGAAAGCAGCCAAATCCGAAAATGGGATGGGATGGAATAGTAATAGCAATAGCACTTAAAGACTTTTATACCGCTTCACAGGGCTTTTACAATCCTCTCCACAGTTTACAGAGTCAGCCACTTGCCCTCAACAATCTGGGCGCTCATTTTACCAACCTTGGAAGGACGGAAGGCTGAGTCAACCCTGAGCTGTTCAGGATCAAACTCCTGGCTATGGTCTGAGTCATCCTGCAATACTACATTTTAACCACAGGAAGGAAGGAAGGAAGGAAGGAAGGAAGGAAGGAAGGAAGGAAGGAAGGAAGGAAGGAAGATGGGAAGGAGAGGGAAGGAGGGAGGACAGGAGTTAGGAAGGGAGAGAGATAAGGAAGGGAGGGAAGGAGGGAGGGAGGGAAGGGGAATGAGAGGGAGGGAAGGAAGGAAGGAAGGAAGGAAGGAAGGAAGGAAGGAAGGAAGGAAGGAAGATGGGAAGGAGAGGGAAGGAGGGATGACAGGAGTTAGGAAGGGAGAGAGATAAGGAAGGGAGGGAAGGAGGGAATGGGAATGGGAATGGGAGGGAAGGAAGGAAGGAAGGAAGGAAGGGCACTAATATACCACTTCACAGTGCTTTCCAGCCCTCTCTAAGAGGTTTACAGAGTCAGCCTCTTGCCCCCAACAATCTGGGCCCTCATTTCACCGACCTCTTACAGTGTTACAGAATTGGGTAGTCCCGCTAGAAATACTTTGGAACCTCATCCCAGAGGGGAGCAACAGAAACAGACCATGAAGTGGGTGTGTTGGGGTCTCTAACAATGCTTTGGGCTCTAAGCACATAGCGCTTATAAGCAGCATCCTGAATAACGGGAAGTGAACTTCCTATAATCTCTGCTGTCCTCACCGCTCTCTGTAGGGACTTTCTATCTGAGGCGCTGCGGCCACCAAACCAAACAGGGATGCAGTTTGTTAAAACGCTCTCAGTGGTGCCTCTGTAAAAAGTGGCCAGGACAGAAGGAGAAAGATGTGCTCTCCTCATCCGGTGCAGGAAATGGGGTTTAAGGAAGTGGGCTTTGGGGGGGGGGGAGGATTGAGGGGTCCTTGGTGCTCTCTGGGCTTGGTTATTTTCTTGCAGACGTTTCATGACCCAACTAGATAACATCATCAGTGCTAGAAGTGAGTACAGTTTGTGAAGTTTGAGAAGGAAAACTATGGGGCCTTAGGGGGCTCCCTGAGCTTGGTTTTCATGATCCAAACAGCATCGGTGTTGGTAGAGCATGACAGGAGTGCAAAACACACATCCTTCTAGCGCTGATGATGTTCCCTAGTTCAGTCATGAACCGTCTGCAAGAAAACAACCAAGCTCAGAGAGTATTAAGGGACCCCCTCATTAGATCTTCTGAATGTTTTTTTTTTTTTGTGATTTAAGAGGTCAATTTTCCACCTTTAATTTCCAGCCTAGGGGACAGAGCTTTGAGCCAAATTTCAGCAGCCCAAAGAATGCAACGTTGCCTGGCCTAAGGGCCCATTTGACCTGCCGTGAGGTGTGGCACCTACGTCGTTGCTGGCATTCTTGAGCTGGTTCAGCAGGTAGTCGATGATGTCGCCGCCATGGTTGGCGTGGATGAGCCCCAAGGCGTAGAGGCCGCCTCCTTCCTGATAGGCAGACCCCGGAGACGTGTCTTTGGGCAGGTACGTTGCCATCAGCTGAAGAGCTTCCTTCTCGTGACCCTAGGAATCCCCCAGAACAGAACAGAAGGACGGTGAAAAGTCAATCTCTTTCTCTTTCAAGCTTTTGTGGTTTTTTTTTTTAATCTTTTTTTAGACAGGCACCTGCCCTATAAATGGCTACTTTGCTGAACGTGGCTTTTAATGCATTTTTTGTTTGTTTGTTTTGAGTTGAGAGCTTTACAAATCCAAGAAGTCGTTAAGCCATTAAACAACCTACAGGTTCTTGAAAACATTATTTTCAGTAAAAGTCTGTAGAAATTCTCAAGTCATCCGGGTCATGCTTGTCCCAAAGGGGATTTTTTTTTTCAGGAGGTTTTTTTTTTTCTCTTGAAGACTTTTTGCTTCCACTTCGAGAAGCTTCTTCAGCTCTGACTGGATGGTGGGGAAGGGAAGGATTGAGACTCCTTGCAGACAGCTGGTCATTTGCATCCTTTGAGAGGGCTGTTGAGGCCACTTGGAGGTTACTCTGTATCCTCGGGGTCACCTGAGTGGTGTGGAGGGTTCCTGTAGTCTGCCATTTTTCCTCTGAAAAATCACTTCCTACCCCCACACCATTTAAAGCATGTCCATCCCAAATTGCATAGCTAAAAGATAAACCTCCCAAGTGTCTCAATGACCCTCTAAAAAGGATGCAAACAACCAACTGTCTGCAAGGAGTGTAAATCCTTCTCTTCTCCACTATATCCAGTCAGAGCGGAAGAAGCTTCTTGGAGGAGAAGAGAAACCTCTTCCAAGGAAAAACCTGAAAGTCCCAGTTGCCTCTTGAAAAAGCACCTTTTATTTTCAGTACATTGTTTTCAGGCTTGTTACTTTGTTTTATTCACTAAACTGAACTCCTGAGAGGAAAAGGGATGTATTAAAAGTTACCGTGTCTGACAGGTGGAGGTAGGCCCAAAAGGCACTTCTTAGATAGAAGACAGAACAAAAGCTCTACCAAGATTGCCAAGGTTGTTCCTTTGTCTTGATTTTATGAAACAATTCTTAAAAATTGGCTGTATTACGGAGATCTATCTGCAACGGCTTATTCCCTGTAGCCGCATGCTTTCTCCTAACGATCACAACTGGCACATTAAAAACTTTATTTTTCCCCCATTCTCCCAGGATCCCCATAGATAGAAACGCATTCGTCACACGTGGACTTGTAAAATTTCTTTCCGCTATAAACGGATGTCAAGTTCCCAAATTGGGAAAGGCGCGTGCAATGAAGTCGAAGCGTACAGTACTCTTCATTGCGTGTGAGAAAGCTCTCCCGTATGCTTAACGCTTGCACCCTCCTTATCTTGAAGCTAGATTAGATAAGAGGGTTTCAATCATTCATGATCAACGAGATGTTGAGAGAAGCTGGTGGGGAAAATCCAAATCCAGTGGTCGTCGTCCCCCCGTCCCCCCCCAAAAAATCCAATGCAGCAAAAAACTCAGTTTTATTACCTTATGGATGACACCAAGGCTGGCTGTAGCAGTAAACTTGGCCCAGTTAGTAGCCCTTGCAAGCCACTCCAAATTGTCTCTGCGGAAAGAAAATGGAAAATTAAATCTGGATTCTTTAGAAGAGGCAAGCAATGCTTAAATATTAGTGACTGAGGCCAAAGGGACTTTAGTTTCTCACTTTTGGCTTCACTTACTTTTTGGCTCTGAACTACTCAAAGATGAAAATAAAGTCACAAGGCAGCAAGTTCTTCCTTGCATGTCAACTACTGGGAGAAACACGAACGCCAGAACAAGATTTCTGCTTCAAAACGCCGTCGAATACCGAATTTGACGAGTGTTGGAGCAGTTGAGTGACAAAGCAATGACTGTATACCAGGGGTCTTCAAACTGGACACCTTTAAGACTTGTGGACTTTCAACTCCCAGAATTCCTCCTCCTCCTCATGTTAGCTCAGGAATTCTGGGAGTTGAAGTTCCCAAGTCTTAAAAGCTATCCAGTTTGAAGACCTCTGATCTACATCTATCCATCAACATCTACCTGTGTATGTCTATCTATCTGCATGACTGTCTATCATCTATGTCTACATGCACCAAGACAAATTCCTTGTGTGTCCAATCACACTTGGCCAATAAAGAATTCTATCTTCTATCAGTGATATCTATGTCAGGGGTTTTTCAAACTTGACAGCTTTAAGACCTGTGGAGTTCCAACTCCCAGAATTCTTCCTCCAGCCATGTTAGCTCAGGAATTCTGGGAGTTGAAGTCCACAAGTCTTAAAGTTGCCAAGTTTGGGGAACCCCGAACTTATGATGATTAAAGGCCTGGAGACAAAAACATAAAAACAGCTGCAGGATTTGGGTATGGCTAGTCTGGAGCAGGGGTCTCCAACCTTGACCCCTTTAAGACTTGTGGACTTCAACTCCTAGAATTCCTCAGCCAACAAAGCCAGCTGAGGAATTCTGGGAGTTGAAGTCCACAAGTCTTAAAGGGGCCAAGGTTGGAGACCCCTGCTCTAGAGAAAAGAAGGACTAGAGATGACATGATAACAGTATTCTAGTTTTTGAGGGGCTGCCCCAAAGAAGGGGGGGGGGGGGGTTTCAACCTATTCTCCAAAGCACCAGAGGGCGGGACAAGAAACAAGGGGTGGAAATTAATCAAGGAGAGAAGCAACCTGGAATTAAGGAGAAACTTTATTTATTTATTTGGTTTGTCAATTGCTTACAAGATAATAGGTATAAGTAAAAACATAGTTATGAATACATGGACACATGTAAGAAAAATAAAAAATATATAAAAGAATCAATAGGACAGGGACGGTAGGCACAATTGGTGCGCTTATGCACGCCCCCTACAGGCCTCTTAGGAAAAGGGTGAGGTCAATAGTAGACAGTCTAAGGTTAAAGTTTTTGGGGTTTGGGGAAAAAAAACACAGAGTCAGGTAGAGGATTCCAGACATTGACCACTCTGTGGCTGAAGTCGTATTTCCTGCCATCAAGTTTTGGTGCGGTTAACCTTGAGTTTGTATCTATTGTTTACTCTTGTGTTGTTATGGTTGAAGCTGAAGTATTCATTGACAGGTAAGACGTTGCAATGTATGATTTTATGTACTATACTTAGATTGGACCGAAGGCGGCGTAGTTCTAGGCTTTCTAGGTCTAGAATTTCAAGTCTGGCCGTATAAGGTATTCTGCAACAAGTAGAGGAGTGGAGGACTCTTGTGAAATATTTCTGGACTTTCTCAACTGTGCTAATATCAGATACGTAATGTGGGTTCTAGTCTGATGAGCTGTATTCAAGTATTGGTCTAGCAAATGTTTTGTATGCTCTAGTTAGTAGTGTAATATTACCAGAGAAAAAGCTACGTAGGATTAGGTTAACAACTCTTAACGCCTTTTTGGCTCTGTAGTTACAGTGGGCTCTAGCACTTAGATCATTAGAGATGAGTACTCCAAGATCCTTGGCAGAGTTTGGATCATCAACTTCCTAACAATGAGGACAATTGACCAGTGGAACAGCTTGCTGTCAGAAGTTGTGGGTGCTTCATCACTGGAGGTTTTTGAGAAGAGATTGGATGACTATTTGTCTCAAATGGTATAGGGTGGGGGTCTTCAAACTTGACAGCTTTAAAGACCTGTGGACTTCCAACTCCCAGAATTCCTCCTCCTCCAGTCATGTTAGCTCAGGAATTCTGGGAGTTGAAGTCCACCAGTCTTAAACTTGCCACGTTTGAAAACCCTTGCCGTACACAGGCAGACCTGACCCATGCACCATCCAGAAGTTCCCAGCGAGTCTCTTCCTGGTTCACATGCGAAGTGTACACTCCCTTCTCTGCCGGCCTATTGCCCGCATCGGTCCAACACACCTTTTCCTGCCCCGCTACGTGCCATTACCTAAGGAACTGGTCACTGGTTGTTCCACAGTGCATGAAGGAATTGGCGATAACGGTGGCGGTGTGACACACAGAATTCCGCACCGCATCCTGGAG